AACAATAATTGCGTCACATTTGTGCCCCTTAATGCAAAAAAATATATTTAATGAATAACTGTACAATTCTTTATGCTCTTAAGCAAACAGAAAATACCTAATTTGTTAGATGTTAAGTTTTACAGCTATTACCAATATAATGTAATACAAACAAGGAGGCTGTAGTAGGTAATTCACACTGTTGCCAATGAATGCAACAGTTAGAATAAGTAATGTGTTTTTTTTTTTTTTTATATTGACAGATTCTAATTTGTTAGCGTTTTGGCGCAGCTCACTCCGGCAGCCCAAGGAGCTGCATGTCTGTGCGAAAGGATAAGGCTGCCTTGTGGGATTCTAGGTTTCCAGTAAACATCAGACAGCAAAGACAGAGGTCCGAATGTGCAGACTTATTTATCCGTGTTACTCTAAAAGCACGTGCCATGGGTGGGAAGTGTTGGTTCCTGAGTTTCTTTTAGCTGTATCTTGCTCTTCCACACACGGCAAGGTGGAGATCCGCAACTGCAAATGTGGATCTTATTTATAAAATGCAGGACAGACGTAGGCTCTCTGTGAATGCATGTTTTCTATTTTATTATTTCGTTCTCCTACCTCCCCACTATTTCAGTGCCGCTGGCATGTCGTCCTACTGCGGAATAAAGCAGATTATCGCCCATGTGACCACATTCCTGTGACCCAGTCAACACGCTCACTCAGTCTGATAAATGCAGAAAACCAGTGTGCAATTGCTGCAGATAATAACAAGAAGCATGTATTGCATCCTGATAAGCCACGGTAGACATATCAAAAACACATTTGTGTTCAGAAAGTAATTTGCATCAGTAATATTCCTCAACCAAGTGACAATGTTAAGTCATTAGGTGTCTTTTGTAAGTTAGGTTTAAAGAAATTTAAAGAAAGAAGACCAAATGGGAATGTCAGGAAGCAACGGGAGACCCTTTATAGGCAGAAAGTGAATTGTTATGGCAACAATTGTAATACACAAACTGCATCGCCACCCTCAATGCGGAAAGTTGTCGCATTTCTATGGATATTCAACCTCAATTTGTACAAAAATTGCATGTTTTCTATGAGGTATTTTCTACAGTAAGTTGCATGTGTAAGCAGCCATGGCGATGTCGTAAATGAAGACCACTTAAACAGGGGTCAGGATGTACATGTTACAGGTCACATGTAGAACAATCAATCATTCTATCTGCAGACTAAAGAGGCTCATGGCTCCACTACATCCACTGAGAGCATGTTGTTACTTTAATTAGTTGGTGAATGTGTGTGTTCTGAAATGCATGCTGAGCTCCCCGGCCCTGTTGAGGAGTAGTCACACACACTTTATTAGGGGAGACAAGGCATCTCATTTAATCTACAGTCTCGGAGTCAGTGAGCCAGGGAGGGGAATTGCTCTACACCCACTATCCTGGGGAGGGTACGACCTCGAGCACTAAATTAAGAGTGGCCTGATCGGGTCGCCCCTGTCAACAGGAGAGGAGAATGAGTAATCGCCTCTCACTCTTTGAGGGACGTGTGCTTCCTGTCTGTTCCTGACACTGGTTTCCATGAATGCAACACTCACTCTCTCTCTCTCTGTCTCTCTTACAAACGCTATGTTTCAACTCTATTGTCTCCCATATTTTCTTCCGCCTCTCCACAGACCCACTGGTTGGTGCATACGACTTAATTAGGATAACTTAATCCTAACGTCGGATAGGGCCGACTTGATTCTATATTTTCTCAACAAGACCAGAGCCAGCAGTGCATTTGTCTCTTAATATAACGCTCAAGTCCGTCACTGTGTCTCAGCCTGACGCTTGTTTGTTCCCACCATTGACACACAGTACACATTTCTTACCGTCAAAAGCTAAAGAATTTCCTCAAACAGCGGCGCACTAAAGATTTTAGTGACTAAAACGGTGCCTGGGTGGTTGCAAGCGTTGTGGATTAAAACAAAAAACAGGTTTTGGAAAAGCGTCACGTCAATTCAGTCTCGAGTCTCAAACACCACTCTGCTGGTGGAGAGTCTTGTGTTTGCATGCACATCAGGGACTAACGGTCTCGAGCAGAAGAGTCCTCACACCTCGCTGAGGATAAAATAACCTCAGTCAGACGCACCTGCAGCTTCATCTCTGCTGCAGCTGCTAATTTGATCTCTTTTCTTCTGTTCCATTCCCACATTGTTTCTTCCACTTTATCTTTCTCAAGTGACTAGTTTTAATTTTCTTCCTCAATGATGCGACTTTAAATTTAGCAAACTTGTGAGAAATGATAGGCTACTTATGTAAAGGGGAAATTATAGATTTAAGAAATAAATATAAGTACAAGTTCACCAAAACAACTTTCCGGAGAACAGGGTGAATAAATGTAATTTGCGACTTCCACTGCTGGCAGTAAGAAAGGTGCACGTGGGATTCATTTAATAAACTACGCTGCACACTTTCATCTTAATGAAGACACATGTTACGCATGTGAGTTTTCAATTGTTGTGCTTTAATAATTTTTGGACAGTGGAAGGAGTTGTATCGGCGACAAATATATTCTAAGCAGCAGAATATCTGGAATTCATACTGTATGTAAATTAATATATTAAAAAATCATTCACACCTCTATGCTCGTTCCCGTTTTGAGAAAACCATAAGCCATGGGTTACGTTTACAGCTCCAGCCCGTATTGAATACCAATGGCTTCAGGATGAGCACTGCAACTCATCCGTCAGATGCACCATCTTTTCTCGTGGAGGCCTGATAGTTTGATCGATTCTCATGGAAGCATCGATCAAACCTCCAGCTGTTTGTACTCATTTCCATTAAAATGAATGCCTTAAATTGAATTTTAAATGATGCAGAGATATTTGGTTAGCCATTAGCAGGGGTGATATGCCCTTGAACACACAATTTGTTCACAAAACAGAAAGTAAGATATATTCATGATCTGGCTCTATAGAGTAAAGTGTGTCAACGGTGCTGTACAAGATACAAACCCGTACATATGCAGTTGTTTTCTTTTGTACACAACAATATATAGTCTGTTTGCTGTTAAAAATACATGTCTTTAGCTGGACAACTCTCGCTACTCCCTACTTCCATTCCTTCTGCGTTCATAGGTTTTTTTAATTCACTATTTTAATCATTACGTCCTTTTTTTCTCATACAAACAAGCTCCTAACCAACCCTGCTTTTGTACCGTGCAACATTAGGAAAATGTATTTCCTCCTCTTTCTCTCTCTGGCTGGGTAAAAATAAATCAAAGGAATAATGGGGTGAAACTGTGAATGTATAAACTTCTATTTCAGTGTTGTTCCAGACTGCATTCCCATCCCATGTGACTTACCTCAAAGTGGAGCACACGCCGGGTAAAAATAATTACTTTCCTTGCATTATGTGAGCCGACCAATTCACGCAAACATCTTAACCGGCCAACAACATGCCTTCAGTTTGCAAGGTCTCACTTTGACATTGTCTAACACTGAATGAAGTTTATATAAAGAGTAAATGATAATCTCAGTTGTATTAGCTGTGATGGCTACATCAAGCCTCGTACCGGCTAAATTGAGAGCAGTGCGGTTCGTGTGTATCATGATTTAAAAAAGTGAATTCCACTGAATGGTGAATAAAATGAGTTGATAAGCCCCTTCCTATGCTGTCTGAAACAATAGGCCTAAACATTTAAGCTATTGTCGGGTGTTAAGGAATGAATAAAAAATGTAACAGGCAAGCACGGCAGATAACTATGTGAGAGTCGTCGTCTACTGAGCTGAGCAGCAGGAAGCCAGAGAGAGAAAGAGAAAGATAATCTATCGTTTCAGTGGAGACGGGAGGGAAGGAACATGGAAGCAAGCAATAAATGATGGAAAGAAAAGCGTGGGGAAAAATGCAATATTTAAGTATGAGGAGAAGGACCTTTTTTTTTGTGACAAGCTGTCATAATCGGACTTACCTGCTCATCACAGAAGTGCAGCTGTGTGACATGAGAGCAGGACTTTTATGATGAGTAGGTAAGGTAAGTCTGATAATTGTGTTTCAAGTTATCTTTGAAGTGGACTTTCCTTTTATGTGGTGAGTGCAGCCCGGTTAAAATCAGAAGCTGCAGTCATCTAATGCACTTTTTTTTTCATTTTTCTGTGGTGAACTGCCAGATGAGGAAATAGATGACAGCTGGCCGATGTGCGTGGGTTTTCACAGTTGGACATTCCCAAACCCGCCCACAGCAAACATCAATGAGGTAAACAGCTCTGGATGTACTTATCTGTTTACCCCGGATTTTATCACCTGTGAAGTTAAAAAGTTAAAAAGTATCTGTAAATACAGCTTGGATGCACACTGTTTGCACTTTTGTTATTTATGGCTTGAAGATGAAATGGTTTTTTTTTTTCAGATGACAATGCTGGAGGAACAAAATGCATTTTGGCCGATGCAATTTCTCTGTCATCGATGTCAACCGAAAACATAGATTCTGTAAAACTTATTTCTGAATATGTAGCATATATGAATCGCATATGTGAATATGTAGAAAATACAGGTTCTGCCATAATAATGCTTTGATTTCCATTATTCTGTTGTGCAATAACTCTCAAATAAGTAACAAATGAAGCCAAATTATATTAGAGTGAAACCCTCCCGATATTTGCGTCTTGGGAATATGAGCAACCCTGTTCACACCAGCTGAAGGAATACGGGTGCGTTCAAATTTATTGAATTGTCTTTAACTGAGTTGAAAAATGAAAGTACTGGAAAGAGATTTTCTTTTTCAGAAGACAGATCTGCTGCCCATTGAGTTTCACATCGTCATGGTTCCAGCAACAGCTTAAGAAACAAGTTGAGCAAAAGAGCAGATAATGAGTCCGTGCAGCCGCATCAACAAGGCTAATAGTTTTGTATTCTCTCCTTTTAGGTTTCATTTGCGTGCCAGAATATTCCAGTTTGCAGGGGAGTAATTTGTGCTGCTTGAGCAGAAATGTGATATGAAGCTTTTTTCTCCCCTCTTGTCTTTTCGTAGGCCTCAAGTAAGGATGTGACTGCTTCACTGCACAGGAATGTCCTGTCTTGGGGCGTGTGGCGGGGCAAAGAGGAGAATGAGAGTGTGTCTCTCAGAGCAATAATACACTCTGCCTCCTCTCAGGCTGCAGACAGCGGATCTCGGAGTACAAAAAACGCTGCGAGTGTCCCCGATATGGTGGGAAGACGTCCAAAGTCGACATTTACTTCCATCACCATCACAGTGCAGAGAACTTCACCATCCCTTTGCAACCCACAGGACCTTGTGTATCCATCCACTGCAACCCGGCCTGTGAAGAAATCAACTCCCCCAAAACCACAAGAGACACCGGGAGGAAAAGCCTCATCTTTACCCACGAGCACAGCGAGAGTCTCGAACTCTCAACCGGACGCGTGCCGGCGAGATCCTGCCATCGCGATGCCGAATGAGTTCGGGCGGGCCTACTCGCCAGCTCGTGAATTCGCAGGGAGACATGGACAAGGAACGAAGACGGGACATCTTGTGCAAAGCAGACTCGGGCGCACAGAGATTGTCAAGAAGCAGGACGGGCGAGGTGGCTCGTCAATTAACCCCTCCTCACAGCCTCTCTACCGCTCTTGTATCCAACTCGAGGTGCCGCTGAGATCCATTACTTCTGTTTTGTTTTTGGACAAGTCACTTTACATTCCCCTTGTGGAACTAGAGGGCAGAAGGGCGGCTCAAACCACTTTGTACAGGTGCACCTTGTCCATTCGCTTTGATGTCTCGTCCTGCCGCAGAACCTCTAACAAACGAGCACAAATAAATGCGGGTTACGGAGGACCCAGAGGGGCCTTGTCGGGACGAGGCGAAAGCGACGTCCGAGAGACGGGTTCGGGTTGCCGCAGAGGCCCTCCATCAACGCACAGGGCCCGCAAGGTCCAGCGGACGGCACCCAAGTGTGATGTTAAAGGCAAGCCTGGTGATTCAGACGCGCGGGGCCACTGCAGCACGTCGGGATTATTGTCATTCATAGGGCCAATCCGCTCAAACACAAACGGCTGCAGGCAGAAGGAGAATGCAGATGAGGCAGCCTTCGCTCTCCGTAGCAATTCCAGCCAAAGGCAACGCACTTCCAATTGTGGCCCAGGTATGAGTTTTATCCCCTTGCTTCAGAAGGGAAAATCTAAACCACCGATGCAATTGATCTGTGTTTCTTTCTCTGGCCCATACTGTATGCTCTTAAGCTATTTTAGACAGGATCACATTTCCTAGGCACAGCGGCAAGCTGAATGTGCCGCCTAGGTGGTCTTAGTGACTGGAAAGTCGTTATTATTTTCACTCTGCCTCTGAGGACTGTTTTTGTATTTCTACCTCATGCATTATAAATAAACCACACCCACCAGCACACTTCTCTTACTGCTGAGGATAAATTCCAACTGGTTCTCACACACACGCACACTGAGTCCAACTGCAGGTTTAAATAAACACTTTCATTTGTCCTTCTTTTACTTACAAAACTACCATCTCACTGTTTCTGTACACATTCACAGTTATTTAATATAGACTGCATTTCCATTATTCTAAACAGTCCTTCTCCCAGTCCTCCTGGTAAATAGGAAAAGATCAATCCAGCAGCAAAGCAATCTGGCTACCAGCCAACCAAATTGTTACACATAATCTGTTTAATATGCACAGAATGTAAAAATGACAAATTATTATTTGCGGTTATAGCAAATGTGACTTGTGCTTGGAAATCCCACAGCGACAACTAGCTCAAGGAAGTCACTGCACCTGGCGAAGAAACAAATATGAATGAACAGGTGCTGTTCCCGCATATTTACATCCAGAACCAAGAGCTGGGGATCTCTGCAGGATACACAGTACATACAGTACAGCGGTGCTTGTCGTAGCCAAAATGATTAAAATGATTAAAGAAAGGTTTCACTGCCTGCAGCATTTTCCCCTGGCCTTCCTCCCCCGTTACCAGGGCTGTTTCAAGAAAAACAACTGCAACATAATACTCTTTTGTTTTTTAAAGCTCTCCCTCAAACCATTAGTTTTATTTTGGAGGAATACAAAACCTGGAGACCCAGTATGTATTCAACAAAAGCTAAGTCATGTTTTGCATTATTCATACGACACACTCATCTTCCCCCTGGGTTTTTTTCTTTCTAAGTTGTGGGGGCGGCGGGGGGGTTGTTCATTCAGCAGCTTCCTCCAGACCACAAAAGCTAAGGTGGAACGCAATAAGGAGTTGAAATTGGGCTCAGAAGGAAAGAATAAAGTCTGGATTAAATCAATTAAATTAAGATACTGTATGTAACTTGAATAAAACTATCTAGAGATCCTAAACACACATCTATTTCAAATTAAGAAAAACTGGATTTGAATATAGATCTATTCCAGTTCATATTATATATAATTAATATTCAATACAATCGGGTCTGCCAATATATATTATTATTATATTATATATTTTTCACCCTTTTTTTCACTAAAAGTAAATTGCCACTTTACTCCTCTCTTTGTCTGTGAAGTGAACTTCAGGACTTGGACCAAACCAGCAGGGAGTGACAAGACAGAGGAACGACAAGAACGCGAACGTTCATCACAATCTCAAAAGGTCTCCGATAAGGAGCATCTTTCCCGGCTGAATACCGATTCCCTGGAAGGAACACTCAAGAATCTCAGCCTCAAAGTAGGAGCTGCCTTTCAATGAATGACTTATATATATATATATATATATCACAGAATAGAAACAAGCCAAAGGTTTCTCTGCAGTAAGCCTAACATTGTGATCAAAGGTTCATTATTCATCAAGGAAATCGCCTTTTGATGAAAAACATTCCCGTTACAAAATAGAGCTCACCATTCGTTCAGGCTGATAACAAAGTCAAGACGTCCAAGCAAACACCAGCTGATCTCAGACCAGTCAGTCGATGGTTGAGTTTTATGTGAATACATTGTTTTAATTTCAAACTTTTAACCCGAGGTCATTTACGGACTAGAAGAAACACGACAACGTAGCTGTAAACTATTACACGCAGCGCAACAGCACATGATTTGTGATCAAATGTGTTAGGTGCCATAATGAACTTGTAACACCTTGGGAATGATGTAATAGTGACTAATTCAATTAAGGTTTCCGACACAGAGACTCTTAATGTGTTTATTTTGGACTCTTAGTAGGATTTTTGCTTGAGTTGGTGTTTCTGACAAAGCCTTTGCCAAGTACGGGAGTTATGGAAGAAACCTTTTAATGGTTACACAATTTTCAGTTTTCTTCCCCTCCTCTTTTATATTTCATTTTCAATTAAAAAGCATCTTTCACTCACAATGTAACAAGTTTTATCTCAGCGTAGTGAGAGGTAGGGATCCAGCAAACGATTCATATTTCCCCGGTGAGAAAAGCTCTCTTACCTTTATCCCCGCTAAGGCTGAATATAATATTACCACGTTGCCCATAGCTGTTAGCTTACAAGCCTGTGAAGAGGATTCTCCGAGGTTAAGAAATAGATTAGGCTACGCTCAGAAGAGAATCTAACCCAATGGAGATTATTTTTCATTTCCACAGGATTAGTGCTGTCGAGTTGCACCGTATTCCTCCAACAAGCGGCTTACTGTATGCATGCATGCATCTTTCCGTCCCAGGAGGCCTTAGAACTCCGTAGGCCGGACTTCATCAGCCGCTCTCAGGGTCGGGTGAGGAGGTTGGAGCGGAGGGCCAGGAGAAGGCGATACCTGCAGGACTCCGATCCCGACCTTACAGTGCAGGGCCTCGGGGAGGGCCGAGGCAAACAAAACAGGAACTGCACAACACCGGATCCACTCAGTGGTGAGTCGGAAGGTTTCGCTTTGTGCCGCCGGAGACCACCCACGGCGACAGCAGGGAACCTGCAAGCTATTATCAGTCTGCCACTTGAGATAGTATCCCAAGAGTCGGAGGAGAGCAGGCCCTCATCTCTTACTTTGATCTTTCACCATGTTTCCTGTCCGGCGATAGATCACCTCGGCAGGGAGTAACGCGTATATATCAAATAGCGGACTGGGTGAGGACTACTTCAGAGGGTGTGTATCAATAACCACATACACTTGGAAATAAGTAAACAAGCAACGTGGGCATGTCATGTTGTAACTTCAACAACCCCAGATGAACCGAGGGGGAAAAGCTGTGATGATCGTTGATGTATTTAGAGTAATTATCCAACTTTGCTCTCTGCTGGCCATTAGTTAGTATTGCAGATCAGTTAAAGCATCTTTACTTATAAAACTGGGACAAACACAAGTTGAGACTATTTTAAATGGTTTGAACTTTTTTCATGCCACGCAAAAGTGGTTTGTGACCATGGTCGAAAAAACATAGGAAAAATAAAACTGTGCTCATGAATTAAAAACATACAAACAGGGAATTCAAACAAAGCATAGAGACACGTGTGGTCATAAAAGCTTTCCACAGTAACACCATAAGCGATAATATTGTTAATTTGGGTAATCTTGGTACTTTTCCTGAAGGTATAGTTAATGAAGTGCATTACAGTCTCTGATTACCGGTATATTTCTGCTTGAAATTACTTGAAGTTGATGTATTTTAAATGAGACAAGGCTGTGCTTAGTTGACGTGACCACAACATGTATTTTTCACCAGTTTTCACTCAACTGTCTGCTTTAAGAAAATACTGGATTTCAAAAGCTACGGCATCGATTCTCTGCATGGTTTGTTTACAGCTATTTTTCTTTCCAGCAAATCCAACTAGCCCCGGACCCCCGACCGCTCCCCTCTTTACTGAAACACTAATGGTGCATGAAGACGTTATACGTCGGATAAACTAAGGGCTCCAACTTAGTTTTGGAAGGTCGTGGAGAAGTTACGGAATTAAGAGCTTTGAACAGCTCGCACTGGTCTCTGACTGAAGTCTGCGGCCTAATTACGCAAAAAGAACCTTTGTGCCGACCAGCACTTCACTTTAGTTCAATCTGTGGGAGACAGAGAAGTCCGCCCAAACACGACTAGATATGACCATGTATGGTATTTTATAGGTCTCCATGCATGTGTGTGCAGTGCTCAAATGTGTCTGAAAACGAGAGATCTCCCACAGCCCACAGTGCTCATTAACACATGCACGGTTCATTTAAATACTGATTACAATGTGTTTTTGTGTGTGTGTGTGTGTGTGTGTTTGTGTGTCCTAGATAACCTTTTCAAGCCCAGAGAGAGGACTATATCAGGCAAGGAGATGCAGCTGAGGTCCAGACGGTGAGTTCTCCAGACAGACGATGTCACTCCTTCGCTCCTCGCTCTCTTTTGTGCTTTTTATTCAGCACAATCCATCAAGCTTGTTTGTCACATCCCCCACACGTACCTGCCACGCACGCGGGTTCGCTGCACAACTGGTGCACATTCACACACCCACACGGATACAACAGTCTGATGTCCAAATGTTTTGACAGGGGAGACACACGTTAGCCTGCGTGCACCTTATCTCTTTCTTCTTCGTGTTATCTGGAAAAGGCACACTTGATCAGCGGAAGGCCGCCCATTGTAATTTCTTTTCTAAAGCCACTTTATCTGACTTGGCGGATCTGGTAACACATTGGCTGCAGTTGTTGGAATGAAAAAGGAGTCTGTGTGAGATCTGCTTGTCAGTGGTTACAGGTTTTTGCAGGCGATGGTCTCAGTAGATAAAACCTTGTCTCTAGTATGACAATCTGTTGGTGTAGCTTAGCCGCCCCCAGACTTCTGTTGCCACATTCTTCTGCCCTGGCATGAATTTGCCTTTGTTTTTGTTTCTGTAGGATTTACAACCAGCTGCCAGAGGTAACAAAGAAAAAAGAGGAGGAGAAAAAGAGGGTCGTATCACAAACGAACCGATTGCGAGCAGACGTCTATAAAAAGGTAAAGTCCACCTCTCAAAACATTGATCGAAGGCTTTCATTCTATAATTGTAATTCAGTAGAATAGATAAAACAGCCTACAAAATGTATCTTAAAATTGAATTACTTTGGACTGTTGTATGTATACGTGTTAAGCACTGCACGGGGGTCTCATTTTAAACTGGATTAAAATATGTGTTTTAATAGTTTTTCTTTTGAGGTTCAGAAGTGAGTCACTGTCGTCAACTTAGCATAACCATTTTATAATCTTTGGAGGGAATAATAAATGTTCAAAGCAGGTGTCTGTACAGAATATTTTATGCCAACATTTAACTTACCAAGTGTGTTAAGTAGGTTTTGATGGATATTTTTAGTCTAGCAAACACCAACTCCAGAGATAATGTATTTCTAGAAATAACACACCTAAGTACAACAAAACATACTCACATAATCTTGATGTACAGTATGAATTGTGTTTTAAGTCTCTGTATGAGTGTATCTGAATGAATAAAACACGGTTTGACGCTCATCCAGCAGAGGTCCCTGTTTGACTACTAAAGCCAGATCCTCTGCTATTTGCCAGACTGAAATCAGTTTAACATTTAGGTAATTTCCTTCTCCTCATATTTTAGGGGTAGTCTGTAACTTTGGTCTTCTGCAAATAGTGTTTTCAGATCAGACACCGAAAAGAAACCAAAAACCAACCCTTAATGCTTCACAACAAACACTATTTCATACCCTAAAGTGTGGTGTGGTAGATTTGTGTGCGTGTAGAAAGAGAAAGAGGTTTTACCCAAGAAGCTATACAGGATGATCTCAACATGAATGGCTTCTCTCTCGCTGTGAACTTGTAAGCCCCCGGCCACCAGCAACTTTCCTTCACAAGCAGTAAACCTCTAATAGTAAATCAGCATTGTGTGGTTCACTGACATTGCCAGCAATCAAAAGCATTGTATGAAGTTCCTTACGATGCCAGTGTGACCTCGCCACCTCCCCAAAACCAGGCTGTTAGGCCTGGCTCAACCACTGAGAACGTTGGAGGAAAAGGAGTCATTTCCTCCACAATGAACACAGAATTGTGTGAGCTTCAGAGGCCAGAAAGTCTGCATCACACACACACACAGGTTGAGACCAGAGAAGAGTCACAGTGCGCAGGGATATTGAGATGGGGGCTTTTACATGGCGTCAGAAATGGGATGGCAGCCGTTGGGCGGCACCCTGAGAGAAGGGTGATTGCACAGCCTTGTGTTTGGTCAAGTAGCAAGGTAGGATTATTCTCCCTTCCTGTGCTTGGCCACCTCAGCGGTGAGGCTGGTGGAAAGGAAAGCCAATTTAGCAGCATGAGTCGCTCCTGTGTGATGCAGATCTGCTCCACGGAGGTCAAGGGAAGGGAGATATGAGATGATGTATTCCTGATCAGGTGCTGTTTCTGTTTTTGCAGAGACTTCTGGACCAGATCCTGCAAAGATAAATGGGACTCTGGCTATTGTGTCTGAACACTTTTCTCCACATATGCTATAACTGTGTACAAAGTCTTTATATATTTGATTTAGTCTCAATTTCTTTTACTATGAGCATGATTCCATGTTCATTAATTGTATTGGTGTTTAATGCATCCTGCCAGCAGGGTGACAGGTGCATGTTTAAAACTAGTTTTATCACCAGTTTTCTACTTGATAATGATACGTAATGTTGTACACGTCTGTATACTTTTGTCTATGCTACAATGGCTAAATATGAAGGAATGTGCATTTTGTTGACAGAAATATTGTTAAAGTATTATATAGAAGAACCTTTCATAAGATGTATATGCTTATAAGTTTTGGGCAAAAATTCACAAAGCCCAACTATGTCACAAGGTTTTGTAAGCTTTCTCCCCCACTTAATCATGTCATGTGTTAATTTCCTTTTAACGATTTCATTTCTGATCTGCAGTATCATTTTCCCCGTTTCCTTAAGTCCCTCAATATGAAATAAAAACATTCCAAGGACATTTTGTATAGGAATAGTGTCCCTTTTCCATGAAATGTTGTCCAAGTGCACCTTGACCTTGTCACCGGTACAGTACACAGAGAAAGCTGAACCACGTGTCGTCATTGGCTTCAAGTCTGCCTGGAGGCCTCTGGTTCCTCCCGTCCGCAACACTGGAATTCCGACTAATCAAACTCAGCAGACACGCCTGTGAAAGGGGGCCTTTGTCAGAGAGCTCCAAACCAGAGATGAAATTGTAATAAGGGAGGAGACTTTTGAGCACAAGCCTGGCGCTGCAGTCCTGCTTCGCCTGTAAGGGCGGCTGACATATCTGCGGCATTTAGACACAAAGGGGAAACGACGCCGTGTAAATGCTGACGGTTTCGATTGACTTCTGGTGAGTGGGTTGCTCTGGACTTAAACACTGGCAGGGCTTTTACATCCCAAACATAATGCTTGATCAAATGTCGAATTTGAGTCCAGTAATGTAGTTCGATCCCCCCACCCCCCAGAAATAAAATGATAGACCCGCTGCCAGGGAGCCGCAAGGGTCCTGCATCTAGGTGGATTGATTTCTGCCCAGAGCAAGGAACAAATGTAGTAAACCTCAGAGCTATCTCCTCATTTAAATGATGGCTGTGTTACCAGCGAGGCAATTTAAAAGAGTTATCCACATGGGAGGAATGCATTCCTGCCATCTGGGATGGTTCCAGATGATGAGCACAGACTGACAGGCAGTTGTATACGAGGAGAAGGACTCCTGTCAGTTAGCGTCGCTCTCTGAGGCACCGTGTCTCTCTCTGTGTCACATTGGTATCGCCGCTTAATATGCTGGGAGGCCCTTCGCTCCGCTTCGACCGACTCAGGTGCCCCGAGGGTGAGAGTGATATGTCTGGATTAGAAAAGAGGACACTGTACATCGAAGCTGTGGCACTCGTTGCATGCGTTGAGCCATTAGTCATTTCATTGTCAAGCCTTATTTTCTAGATGTCTATCTTCATGGCCATATTTCTCATTAGCAGTACTGTGTTCCAGGGCTGTGATGTTTTAATCAATACAAATCTACGGTATCTTTCGCATGTCATCAGACACTGTGGGATATTCTTTTCAATCAAAGCAACCTCAGGTAAAGCAGGACGTTTGGTTCTGTTCTCTGCAGTTTGAAGTATCAGTGGAGATGTGGCGTGAACTGACGCATGCACAGAGATGTCTGACTTTTTCTGCCCCGCAGCGGACACACGCTAAAAAAAGATTAGATTAAACTAGATTCAGGTAGTGTGCACAAAACACAGATGGGGACAGAGTGATGACTGTTTTGTCACAGTGTGTTTGTGCCTGGCTGGATACACAGATAGAGAAAGAGACGAGGCAATCTCATCACAGGGGTATTTAAGAAATAAGAAAAGAATCTTTGGGAATTTTATATATTTTTTGGGAATATTCACAAATTGAATCATGAAGTGTTTTTAGTTAATCTCGACATCACGAACGTTGTTCATGACAAAAGCACAATGTGCAGATAAGAATAGCTGAAACGTTCACAGCTTTATTTAAAATCTCTTACAAATACATTTTTTGTGAAATAATTTTTTTAAACGCTATCTTATAATCCCATCTATTTACATGCATAAATCTCATTCTACACATCGTAGTGCTTCGCACCACATTTTCCAGCAAATTACATTCCAAGCGTTGCCATAGTCACACCACGGTGGGAGGTGCGCTTCTAAAAATCCATCTATATATATGTATATATACATGTGTATAAATATATATATATACACATATTTATATTTATACATATATATATATATATAAATATTTAGCCTTGGCGTATGGGTACTTGAGGAAAGAAGTTAACACAGTATTCAATTATTTGTGATTTTACCCATCCGGCTTTAGGACCCAGCGGAGCCTGAAGCGCACATGGCAGTGTGGCGGCTCCGGCCCTGGAAGGGATGACAAGTCCGCTTCACTACTCCGACATCCTCTCGCTCTGCCTCTTCTATCGCCTTTATTTTCGGTCATACCCGGTAGCCCTGCCGCGTCAGCAACATTTAGCCACCGCATGCATTTTGTACGCTTTTCCCCTTCACACCGCGCGCTCGCTCTCACGCCGTCGCGAGGAAAAAGTTTTTTGACAGCTTCCCTTTCGGACTGACAGAGATGCCGCCGAGTGCGCCTCGGTGAAACTGCTATGACCTTTGTCTCCATCCCGTCACCTGTGTGAAGTGTGCGGTGCCGCTGCTGTCCCCCCACCTCCCCACCGCGGACCCCGGCTTCACCTCACGGCTCGCGGGCATCATGAGGACCTGGAGGCGGCGGAGGAACTTTGCCTTTCTGCTCTTCGCTCTCCGCGTCTGCTGCGTGTCCACGGCCACGGAGCACGGTGACGGCGGGGTTCACAGTGTGCGGGGGGGTGAGTACCCAACGTAACCCAACGTCACCTAACGTCACGTGTCGTTTGGACCATTCTGATGAAAACGAAGAAAAGTGATTTATTTTTGACGTATAATCCGGATGTGTGGTGTCATCAGTGGAGTTACCTTCATGTAGTTTATGGAAAATAACAATACACCAAATGAATAATCCCCCTAAAAGCTTTGTGGGAGGCTTAAGATGCTGCACGCCAGTATGTGCGCGCCTGTTGTCATACGGCCCTTTGTGCTGCAATCATCTTGCAGTGCATTTTACATTTGGAACATGCAGAGGGGGGGTGTATCAGGGGAAGAGTGTCTTTATTTCATTTTTTTTAGATCAATATTGTTTTCCTGGATGGAACAATACAGGGAAGTGTTTGGATGGACGGATGGCTTTAACATCCAGGAGGATGCTGCCTTATCTTGATCTTGTAAACATAGACCAAACAGGATGTTATTATTCATCAGCTAAACTGAATCTACTGGAGGAATAAGACAGTGATAACCGGGAATTGTCTCTAAGGGGACAGAGCACAAGCCAGGATACAAATGTTTTTGTGTGTTTGTTAGTGTATCTGTCTGTGTGTGTGTGTGTGTGTGTGTGTGTGTGTGTGTGTGTGTGTGTGTGTGTGTGTGCGCGCGCGCGTGTGTCTGCATCCAAAACCGCAAAGAAAGAAACCGAGACAAACATCCTTAGAGATTCACCCCTTTTAAGCTGTCGTCTTGTGTTTTAAGTTCTGTTTTTTATGGATCTTAACAAGTCCTTAAGTTGGGATACACCCGCTCCAGATCTGATAATGGTTAACAAGAAATTTAAATTACTTATCTCTTAATCTTAATTTGTCAGCTGATAACCACGTTGCATGCCATATTTAGAGCAGTTACCGAGGACCAAGTCCTAAAAAATATTCTCTATGGTGGAACTAGAAGTCTGTTCTTCTTCTTGAAATATTGTGCATTGTTTATGACTTCTGTGCTCGCAAACATGAAGCCTGTGGTTGCATCATTACAGAGCAAAACTTCACCCTGAAAAATGTCTGCAGAGAGGTGGAAAGATGTAGCTCAGGAGACATTTTACCACATGCATCATCTCAATGCGAGGTCATTAAAGCTCTCACTCAAAGGGTCAGATCATGTGTGAATGCCGGGAGTATAAATAGCTTTAAGGGGCAGTGTGAGTAATGAAAGAGGGAGCACATACCTTTTCATAAGCTTTTCACGGCCTCCATCCACCTCAGTGGGGACCGCGCTACCATGTCTCTTATCAGCATGTATAGTTTGTGAGACAGCATCCAGCAAGGGGGAGGCTTCCCTTGCCCATATTTGGCTTGAGTGATGCTGACGGAAACCGTTTCCAAGACTTAAATCAGCTGAGGGCTGCACCCCTAAAACACTCAGCCAAATCTGGCAGCCAGATATGGATCACAGCCGACTGACATTCAGCCCCCCATTGCCAGAACACCTATGAGTGCGCCAACAGCGATACGCGACGGACTACCTGGACGGAGTTCAGGAACCGTGTTGTGTTAGTTACTGAAGCTATGAGATGTCAAGATTTTTCTCTGGAGTGTCATATTGTGCGTGTTTTGGCCATGGTTACAACAGCATTTACCTCAGTCATAATGTCTGTCTCTTATTGGCGAAATAAAGAAAGAAAAGGTGTCTGGGGCAAAAGCAAAAAATGTTGACTAACAGCTTCTTGAGTGATTTTTCAAGATAACTTAGTAACTAATTTTTTGTCTAATACATGGATAAAAATAACCTTCTGTCTCACAATTGTTGGTTTACTGATATTTAAAAAAAAAACAAAGTCTTCAAAGTCAGGTGATCAGTAGTTAAATTGTACATCTGCTTGTTAGCTCTCAAAAAGACTCAACGCTCAAGCCCCAAAAGGACAAGAATCAAGCAGAATGTGTTTACACATCTTTGATGAATCTCTTTCTCTGTGGCCTTCCATCTCCTTGTCTCCACTCTGCATATCAACTGGTTTCTCTGATTTTTTTTTCTTCTCTAGGCACCAAAAACTGAATAGATAATCAAAGACGGATCCAAATGATATAATCAAAATGAGCGTTAATGTTGTCAAACAAACCGGCGGAGAGCAGGATACAACCCGACCACAGTCGCCTTTGAAAACCAGTCAGAATCCCCCCCCCCTTTTGGTCCCTCAGGTCTCTCAGCACAGTTTCCTGGGGTGTAACTCAAACCCATCCGCCACCAGCAGTAGAACGCTGACGTATGTCCGCCGTCCTGGTTAAAACAACCCCTTTCTGCTAAAGCCATTTAGGGAATAGCCTCACCCTAGTGTTGTCTCTCTGTCGCTTGGGGTTAGGGGTTAGGGTTTGGGGCAGGTCCGCAAACCCCGGGCGGATCCCCAGATGGAGGATCCAATGGCGCTGAAAAGAAATGCGAGAGTTGCGTCGTAAAACTGCGAGGAGAACGACGAGAGCTGTGGGCGGCCGCCCGCAGGAGCTTCTGACAGACAGCAGTCAATGGAGTGGGTGTGATGGATGGAGGGGGAGGGGGGCGGGGGGGCATCAACCTCCAGAGAAGCTGATAAGAGACACAGCGACGGTCACCCTTCCTCTCGTCCATTTCTCACACGATTCTCTTTGAAGTTAAAAAAAAGAAAGGGGGCTTCTTTTCTTTGAGCAGCAAAGATGGGAAGAAAGTAATAAGGGAGAGAACGCGCCGCCGTCGCATCCCATTTACGAATAGCGAGCTATTGATGTGTGTGCTTGAATGAAGATTGATAGCAGATATTGGATCCACCAGAGCTGTAAGCATGCAGTCATCGGGCCTCACATTTAGAATGGATGAGAGGCTAGAGGTCTAATGGAAGAAATTACAGTATTTTGGCTCACACAAAAGAGCTGGTGAACATATGAATTCCTCAGAGCAGCCGATGCTTGTTTGTCTCTTCCTCTTTGACAGAGCGCCCTTCCTGTATTTGACATATTTGGATAAGAGTAAGGACAAGACAGTGGACTGATGAAACCACACGGTTCCTGAACCACTCGGTCGCCCCCACATCAATTATTTCGTAACAGAAAGGGCATCACACCTCAATGTCAGGTTATTTATTCTGAGGTGTCTTTGATTGGATTCCAGCCTCTCTAAAACCATCAGCCTTTATATTTTGCAAGTATTCGACGGATGGAATAGATGATGTTTTGAGAGACGATTATATGAAGTGAACATTGTTTGTAAGGAAAGACCTTTGAGGTTTGCTCACATCGATTTTTCGTTTTCATGTGTGCGTGCTGCACTTAAAGGAACTCTCTCCTTTAGTACAAATGTTGTGCTTCTTGTGGTTTTATTGGGTACACATTAATTCAGCATGTTGCATATGCTGGATGAATGTAATGGCTTCGATTTAAAAACAACGCTTAAAGGCCTTTTGACTCTGCAGGCTACTCGCTGTGCGCTCGCCGCTGGGTTCGGTGGACACGGCTGCATCCAAAAGGTCAACGTTTGCACAAACCGCCGAAATGTGTTCCAGAGCCCGGTGGCGTCGCATCGGCGGGTTAATGGAAATGTTATAAGTTTTGCAGCTAAAGGTAAAGTTATTGGGATACTACCAAAGTTATTTCACCTATCTGAACTCTGGAAAGAGAAATTGCCATCCAAGAAGCACGGCCAGAAATCTCCATCTGTTGGAACCCCCACAAATAGCTGCTGGGTGACCCAGCTTGTGTGACACGTTTCTGTTAATCCCCACAGGCTGAGGGTCCTATAGCTCTGAGACGTAATAATCCAATCTGTGCCGACGGTACGGGTGTCGGCTCCACCGCTGTTGCTCCCACAGGATGGGGACGGGACTCCCAAGCAGAGATCGTTAACCCACCCTGGGACGTCTCCCATTACAGTGATCGTCAATGTGAGCTGCCGAACTGGGACGCTTACTCCCTCTCTGGGCTGCTCTGTTTGGAATAGATCCGCGGGGGTCCCACATTCAGGATTAGCGCCTTCTCAGCTTCAGCGTTAATCACTGCAGCGTGTCATCACAGGGGTGAGTGATGGAGGACTTGATGGAAGGGAGGGACTGTTGATGTGAGGCAACGAGGCAACACTCAATTTTCACCTCGTGCAAAGAGGCTTTTGGGCCTCTTTGTTTTTTTCTGTGTGCCTCAGAGCCTCCGTTCTCTCCGTCTCTAGGCCCGGCGTTATCCTCGGCCAATGAGAAGCCCACAATATTGTTCCTCATCGGAGGTCAAATTGTCAACCTCTCTCTTTTATGTCCGTTTCTATTTGATTTCGCTTTGGACAACTTACGCAAGAGGCGCTTTGCGGTTGTACATGTACAACAAAGACGTTGGTTGTAAAGGCGCCGATGTGCAGAGGCGGAGAATATCGAGGGCAGCAAAAATGATGTTGGTGTAGTAATTGTTTTGACAGGCCTACAATCAACGTGTGTAATGTCGGCAACAAACTGCTTATGGGAAAGGTTTAGACTGGAAAGAATTCAGTGTAATGTAATTAAATTGTGATTAAATTTAATTGGATGGGTATAATTAACTTTTACCAGGCTTTCAATGCACTGACAGACACCCTAGTACAGCTTTTCTGTATCAGTTTAATAGGAATAATTTTATTTTGATGGTATTAGAAATTATACTTTTAATTTCCAAACACCACCTTAATACCCTGATACCGAGATCACCCATGTCTAGTGTTTTGATTGTTTTATGTACTATTTCATTTGAGAAAAGAAGCCTTGCATGTTTCAATGGATGATTTTCTTCTTCAAGTGAGTTTCTATTCCACCACTTTCAGCACCAAACATTAATTAATGTGCAGCAAAGTAGCGAGCACGTCAGAGAGTGACAGTTTCTATTCAATTTTTACATAATGCTTTCTTCTTTCATTAGTCTAGAGACATCATATTGAAGATAAACATTGTCAGCACCGGGACATTTTTTATTTTATCTTTCTACTGTTTATACAAAGGGGTTCGTCAGGAGCCTTTTAACGCGCAGGATTGTAGTGCTTTCTTTGATGTGCTGCAAAGTGTTTTATTATGAAAGGAAACTAATGTTTTCAACCCGTAATAGCGAAGACCATCTTAAAGATGATGTTGATGTCTCCCTATTCATCTGACTGACTCTAACCTCCCGCTAATTACATGAATGTCAGGCAAACCTCACAAGTATCACTGTGTAATTGATGCCGCAGTAGAAGCTACATGTCGCTTGTACTTCCAGGAAGGATTCCATTAGGATCGTCTTCAGCTGTGTCGCGTTTCAAAGCAGCCTCATTTGTCATTCTCTTTGTGAAGGGCCCTTTATTTCCGAGGGCACAATGTAGGTGTGGCATCCGTCAGCGTATTTAGGTCACTGGTGTTTTCACACTGAATCAGTGACTGGATGTGTTCAGAAAGCTCTACTGAAGTGCTTGTGGAGCTCTTTTGTTCCACACGGAACGAAAAGATAAAAACATTTTGGCAACTTTACTTCATAGATTTTGTTGGGAGCAAAGAACTTCTGCTGCTTCCTTGGCTGTGCGGCCTGGTCTTTGAAATGTGCCATTTTAAGTTCTAGGTATTGTTGTTGGTGGTATAGTGTATCTACTAATGGCTTGTCATCCTCATCCGGTTCAAACATACTGAAAGCAATAGTTTGACATTTTGGAGTGAAAAGCCTCTCTAAATGATTCATCCCTGCATCTTTCCAGCGTGCTCACCCCAAGAACAAACGTAGACACCAAGCAATGTTCACTAGGACATTCTGACACGTGGACCGGTGGCTTACTACAGGCCCTCGTGATGAGCGGACGCCCTGCCGCCTGAGCCACATCCATCCGTTCGTTATCTTCCTGTTTTTTTGGGCCCACGTCGCGGGGGGGTCAGCGGGGCTTAGCGGGGCTTTAAAGACCTCCTTCACCCCACTTTCCAGCTGCGACATGGTGAGGGATCCAGGAGGTCTACATCAGCTGGCCCAAAACCAAAATGTGGTGGATTTCCATCGAATCCAACAGAGGCAACAGTTGTGCAGCTCAGCTGTGCGTTGCGTGTTAAAGATATTTGTACAGACACATGACGGGGGTTGATTTGGAAGGCTGGTTTTTGCAGCCACCATGCAGATATTGACTATTACATCCATTTTCAAACCCACAATCCGTTATTATCCTCTGATCTGGCTGTTATAAAGGGGAATGTGCTTATAAATAACTGGAAAGTTGCGAGGGCCCCATTGTGTTTCTGACATCAGAGCGGAAACATTTAGCAATAGGGTCCAAATTAAATGATTCTGTATTCTCCAATATGAATATTTTCTGGTTTTCTCATTGCTCTGTGAAATACCTTTGGGATTCTAACCATTTCTAATAAACAACGTATTTATTTTTTTTTAAATACGTTGGCTACGGTTTCAGGAAAGTGTGATTGCCATTTTAAACCAGACAAACGGCTAATCAATTAGCTCAATAAAAAGTATCACCCCTGTCCTCAAGCTTTCGATCGCATGATGTTAGAAGATTGTGTTTAAATTAAATTGTGAATTGCTTTCTTTCCTACATAAGGACTGAACTTTTAAGCTTAACTAAAACTGACATTTCTATTCCTGTGTTAAATCAACATTTAAATGAGACAGATGCATGAGGTAGCCCCCCCCCCCCCCCCCTGAAGTACACCGAAAGCTGTACATAGTTTGTATGCCGGTGTTGACCGTTGCGAAGCGGGAGGTTGATGAAGTCACACTGAGCCGCTTGAGCTCCTCTACTCCCTGAAAACCTCACACACAGATTACCACATGTCCCTCGTGTCCTTCAGGTGCCCGTCTTGACCCTCCTCATTGTTCATTCTCGTGTTCGTCCCCAGAGGAGGACTCCGTGTTTACATTGCTGATTAAGCAGATTCGAGGTGCGAAATGAAAAGTAGACTAAACCTGTATTACACACTAGAGCCCGCTACACACTAGAGGGAATGCCCAACACTTTATTTGTAGGTAACTCTCTAAGTGTGCTTAATGAGGATTGGGTTCTGCCCCCCCCCCCCCCCCTCATTTTGTTTGTTTATTCTGTTGGCTGTGTCACTTCCCTGCTGAGTAAAGTAGACATCAGCCGCTGTTTGAATCACTTACCACTTAGTTAGTAACACATGCGCCGGGTAGAATGCTAAAAACGGCTGAGAGGAATTGCCCTGGTTATATTATCAAAGAGGAGTTGTCTTTCAAACAGATGTGGTTTTTTAAGGCCATTTAATGAGAGAGAAGGGGAATGGCTTTTTTTTTTTTTTTTTTGTATGACCCGCAGCGGATTTTCCAATATGGATATGCAACTGTAGTCGGCTACGCAATCAAGATACTCTCCAGAAAACATATGGGATTAACCCAGTTTTAGTTGGAGTTCCCCAAAGAGGATAAAGCCCTTGGGAATCATGAATCAGATCATGAATGTAATGTTCTCTTCATGTTGGAAGGGATTGCTTCTTTTTGGGGAGCAACAATTCTTAGCGGTCACCCGGCTCGTGTCGAGGCGTACGCACTTCGTGACAAATCTCTTGAGGAAAGATCGTTCAAAAGCAAATGCAAATACTTTTGCCCTCCGATGTGGTCTGAGGGTATGCTGTTCAATCTAGTTGGTTTGGAGAATTACCCCAGCCCTTTATTTGTATATTTGAATTAGCACACAAGAATCTTATTTTTTGAGGGATGCAGATTTATCGCGAGGGTCTTCACACCATTGGGAGTGATGAAGTCTTTTATTAACAAGACGTCTGCTCGACTTTCCCTTCACGGCTCCCTTTTATTGCCTCTCTAGCCGAAGCCTGTGGTCCCGGTCATTGGTATTCCGCCTGTCTAACGTGGTTTTCATGCACCACTAAAACCAACAAACTACCGTCGGCACATGTTCAAATACCTCATTAAGTGTAGTAGGTCCCCTTTCGTGCCCTTGTTCGCTCATTACTCACTGAGGATAAATGGGGAGTCTGGGCCACACTTGAGAGCACGGGGCAACCGCTGTCACGGGCTGTTTGAAGTTTGCAAGAAGGAGCCATCTCTTCATTTTCTCTTCAAAGAAAGGAAACATTAAGAGACAGAGTGCTGGAAAATTATGATATTTCTAGCCCGGGAGGAGAGACTGAGGGAGGGAGGTAGGAGGAGGAGGAGGGGGGTAAAGAAAATATGTATCTCGAGGGGACGGAGGAAGACGGCCAGACCTTAAACGTACCGTAGATACAGATGCGACGCGCTCTCCCAGTCCTCCTCTGGTGATAGCGGGCGAGTGTGAGATCTCAAACGACCGTTTACTGGGGCTTCACAGGAAAGCCCGCGGGGAAGGATGCAGACATGCTCAGTGAGGCCGTGGGAGCGGCGGCGAGGGAGGACGACTCTGTGGGAGAATAAGGAGGAAAGCCGAGAGACGCACGCTGAGCGAGCAGAGGGAATTGTGACTGTGATTCCCACATTCTACCAAAGCAGTTCAGCTTATTGTATTTCCTCCTATGCTATATTTATTTACATCCCAGTTGAGCATCCTTGGCTAATTGGCATGATCAGCCCCGAGCTTTGTTGATTGGAGCATTTAATGGGAGGGCTTAAATGATATGAGAAAAAGTAGAACAGATGCAGTAGACTAGAGTTCCACTTTCTCACTTAATGTATAAAGCGAAAGGGGAAAAGATCAATAAGAAGTGGAAAGGACCATTTCATCCTGCCATTATTATTATTTTTTTTAACTCCATTCCTGTCTGGATACATCGTAAAGGCTGAGTTCCTCGTAAACTGTGTGAGAGCATTTATTATTGATGCCCTTGTGGGGGGGAAAGCACATCTCTCCACAGGAGCACGAGTCTGCTTTCACTCCATCTCAGCAACGGTCCACAGCCCGTAGGTGTGCCGTGTGCCTCCGTTGCAGTGCTTTTACTGTCTGAAGCATTGTGTTCTTTAATTAATGAGTAATATTATTTTTAGTGTTGGCCTATATCGTCGACCCCCTTTTTGTCTGCATGCCAGTTCGTTTTAACGGTGTAACTGTACACGCGTACTTTTCAGTGCGGCGTTTGATTTCCTGACTCAAGTCTTGTCATTTGTTCTGGTGTTCTTTTAACAGGAAGCGGTCCAGATGAGGCTAAACGGCGAGGGGAAGCAACCGAAACAGAGCGTTACGGGACCACGGTGCCTCTGCTGCTGAAGGGCGAGGAGCGTAGACCTTTCTCCCACCTGGCTGCCACGGTACTCACAAGGCCGTCGCACATCACCGGCTAACGCAAATGCTTCTGTTTGATGTAACCACTGCACATGACTCCTTCCCCCGTTGCCTCTCCTCGGCTGCGTGCATTTGCTTTGGTAGAAAGCCCCTTCATTAGCTGTGTTTGTAGTGGAACTAACCGTGAAATGAGTCTTTGAACTAGTCGGACTCTCAACAGTTTTGCAAGTCAGCAATGCACAAACGTGACGAAGACGTGACGAAGACGTGACACCACGTCGCTGTCAAATCTGTCCATCATGTCATTTATCATTTAATGTACGCTAGACTGACGGAAGCGTTCATACACATGTTCGGTCCAATCAGCCCTCCTCGGACTCTCAAGTTGTGTGATCTCAGGCAGGGAAAACCAATCTGCCCACCTAGTACAGCTGCAGAAGAAAACGTTTGAATCCCTCAGCACAACTTAAGGAAAGTTTTCCAGTGGAGGGAAATGCGTAGGTGCTCCCCGAGCAATTTAGCCTTTATTTCCCGTTGCAGGGAAGTCAGCGTCTGAGGAGGCTGTTTTTCCTGCAGCCTTATGCTCCTCTCTCCAATTCCGTAGAGAGGGGCAGTGAAGTTAATTACATGAATCGAATAGATCAGCCACGTGTCACATTGGGGTGAGGGAAAATGCAGATTTTAGTTTTATGGCGTTCTTAAAGAAACCAGGACTTCAGATCACGAACAAAATGGTGGCAGATAGCAAAGTTTAGTTCACAAGGTCACATTCATTTAAGCTCATGGTGAAAGGGCAGCTCACATCTCATTCCATGTGGGTTGACGCTGATTAAACACTCTGAGCATGTATGTTGCCGTGTACATTGCGTGATGCACATGTAAGCAGTCGGGAAAACAAAAAAAAAAGTGGTGAGATTTAAATTTTAATAATTATACCACAATTTCCACAATAAAAAACACTAGTACAAGCAAGTATTCTTTACAAGTCAAAGTATGTATGATAATTAATAAAATCACAGCTTATTCAAAGTATACGATTGAAGCCCTCACTATGCAGCTAAATGGGTTCTTTTAATTCAATTCAATTATTATATAAATCAGAATCAGCGGACACGGAATTTGACTGTAGTTTTCTCTTTGCTCTAAATGTACATACACAGGTTTTCAAATAAACAAGAAAATATATATATATATAAAAAGTAGATTAAAGCAGTTGCATGAAATATTCATTTTAAGATTGTAGCTTGCATGAATATTATTTTATAAAGATTTGTATTGTTTCATTTAGTGTACAGCAATGCATTGTATTTCATACACTCATCATAATACATGTAGTGAAGAAAATGTATTGGAGTAGAAAGTAGCCACAAAATGTTACAGCATGAGACCAAATGATTTGCTGGTTTCACCAATTGAAAAAGCACTGGAACACCTAAAAGCCCCCCATTTCCAACTTCATCAGATATATTTAACCACCTGCTCCTGCTAACGATAAAAATGTGCTGAAGAGATGCAGCGGTTCCGCAGTAAGCCATCTGAAAACTGACCTTTCCCAAATGAAACTGACATCCGGGGCACCGGGCAATTTTCTTACCAGAGATTGCACAAAGACCTCAACCGCCCGGGAAATAGATTGATAAAGTCGCTCCCGGTGCCAATACGAGGTCACGGAGCAGTCGTGAAATATTGCGGAGTCGTTACACGCGGTGACATTGACTCTCCAGACAAACATTTTTGCAGCCACATTTGCAAACAAACACAGAGCCACTGGCTCTCAGGCTCTGCAGACAAAGCACTAGCTCGAGGACATTGGTCAGCAGACCTGAGTCACTGTGACGATACAACAGTCTGTCTGTTCCTTAGTGTGCAGAGACTAAGACGCATTCATCGCCTCTTTTTATTTGTTTTTTAGTTCCAGAATATTTTGAAGCCTCGTAGCATGGATGCACATTGCTGTTGTTCTTCTGCAAGGATACTTCTTCTGCTCAAAAAACAGCTATTTTCAAAAACCCAAAAAAGGCTTAGGTTATTGGAGGGCTATTTTTAAATAGATTAAATCTCAAAACGATATTTGACAAAGTGAGGGGAATCCTCTGCATAACCTTTATTTCCAGAGCTTTTGTAGCAATAAATAATTGACACTGATATACTGACATCATATAGTCATCACGGTTGCTCCTGCTCGGAAAAAACACTTTGTCTTCTGCCAAAGAAACATCACAACAATGTTGAGATGCATGACTCATTCTGGAGTTTGTCTAGGTTAGGTAAGCAATACTGTCCTTGTCCAGTTTTAAGCATATTTTTTGCGGATAAAATCCTCTTCTTCACCAACTGTATTTAAAATAAAGGTGCAATATCATTATTTTGTTTTTCATCACAGCATTGGCAACGGTAACTTGATTTGATCAACACAGCACAGCACTTTTTCACACAGAATAAGTACACAGAGAATTTGATACCTTGCTGAGGAGTCGTCTGCAACTTTTCATCCAACTGGGTTTTAGCTGCTCCCTCTCTTAATATCTTGCAAATAGCAAAAATAATCAAAACAGCTAAAATCAGGTAAAATGATAAAATTAGCATTTATATTTGCATTGCTTCCTATGAATCTTTCATGTTTACAGAATGCAAAAAAACTGACTGACGGTGAAAAATACTGTATAGAAAGGTGACCTTTGTATAAACATGTCGACCATATAGAGTAACAAAAACTCCCACAGTACAGATAGAAAACGGGAGTCAAAACTAGTCTGATGTATCTAGTTTTGCGTCATGCACAGACTTGGGAAGTGTAGAAGGTGGGAGCTTTCTTCCTGTTCCTCTCACACGTTTGTTCCTTTGCCACATCCTGCCTTGTATTCCGCCTTGTGTGTCAAACCGAAGTGGAAGCTTTCACACAAACGCCGATGCGCAGGCCGGATGGCTGAGATGCGGGCGCCACCCTGATGCTCGTGTCATCTTTTTGTGTTTCAGTGTTATCCTGCGTCACTCAAGCTGCTGGTGCGTGCGGAAGGGGAACAGCTGATCCTGTTGCTGGAGAAAAATGAGTGAGTTTCCTCTGATTCATTTAAATGATCCGTACTCCATCCTAACTGTCATATTGTTCCGTACTCAATGTGAACACAAGACAGAGCACACTAGATATTTATTATGATAACAGATAAACCCATGCACCCAGCTATGGCTGGCTGGAGTTATAGATGCAAGAGCAAGAGAAGTCCTATGGGTTCGGGCAATGAAATAGTGTATTCGGAGGAGGCGGGGAATATGTCCGCTGGTGATTGGACCCTTTTATGGATGAGCTCTGTGGACATGGACATTTTCCTCTCCTCGCTCCTCCACTCGCTACCAGACTGGCGAAAGGAATAACGCAGTGAACAGAGGAACGAGAGGTGGGGATCATTTGGAGTTCATAAAAATGTAGATATATACACACATTCTCACTGCCGAAATGTTTCATATAGAGAGGAGAGAGCCCGAATGAAGAGTGCGGAAAGGCCAAGTTACATGACCGGGGACCTTTACAATCCCCGATGGCAATGCGTCCCAACGTTTGTTATTCGGAGGGAGTGGAGGCATAATGTTTCACCTTGCTGCTCTGGGATACAGATATTGACATTGGAATGATGGAGTTGCTGCACAGCTGGTCAGACCTCATCGATGGTGACGCTCTAACAAACACAAAGCAAACGGCTTTTTTCAAACTGTGGATCCTCGCTGGGAGTTTGGAAGTGACAAACAAGTGACAAGTCTAATTACTGATATTGATCCACATATTCACTGTCTCTATGTCCAACACTGATAACTTATTTAAAAGCCCTCCCCTCGATCCTGTTCTCCGGATGCAAAGCATTCGAAAAAGCTTTAAACGTAATGCCACCGTCCAGAAATCAGAAAAACCAGCTGGAAAAACTGTCCCGACTGACCCCTCCCGTCCACGTCGTCCACCTGACCTTCACTGACCTCGGCTTCAGCTGTGAGTCATCCGTCACCAGCCTGAGGCCTGGGAGCATGCTGCCGTTCCCATCCGGCCCCTTCTCTGTCAGGCCAGATGTGTCCTCTGACATCACTTCACCAGTTGAGCCAACTCAGAACAGGTGGGCGTTGACCTCCGCGCGGGTCGCCGTCGTCGAGGCGGTGACATTTCAGTCTGAGGGAGGAGGAAAGATGAAGGCACATGAAAGGAGTGCAAAGGATGTAGCTGTGCCTTTAGTGTTTCTGAAAGATTAAAGTCTGGCAACAGTGAGTCCTGCTCCGAAATGTGATTTTTTCCGAAACTAAATATATGCGCATTGCTCCAAGCAATTTTAAGCAATCCGATGTGTTGACAGATAAGCCTGACAGGCTTATTTGCTCCACATCAAGGAAATAGTTTTAATTTCGGATTTGAAGGTCTGTTTTTTTGCCAGCAAGAACAAAAAGTTAAAAGGCTGTATTGGCCAAATTTAGTTAATTTTACTGTTCCACGCTGTCATCATGGGTTCACTAGATGATGCATGATCTCTGTGTTGATATCCTTCTTTCTATTATTCTATAATCTTTTCTAAAGCAGCAGCTGATCTTTTGTGAACTAATCTGCAGTTAATGTTTAGTGCTGCTATTTTTTTCCTTTTTCTGTCAGATTTGATTTGTTGATTTTCATTGCGATGCAAAGAGAATCTTACATAAAAAACATTTTTCTAAAATGCAACAAGCCCTTGTAACATGGAACATGAAAACTATTTCCATCAAATCTTTCATTTTTTCATTTGGCCTTAATGGTCCAAAATAGTATTCAATGTTTGTATGCAGGTGATTTTGATAAATGAAATTATGAACATATATGTAATACAGTGTAGACTAATTTGCACAAGGGGAAAAGGAAAGAACAGCCACTAATTAGTGTGAATAGATCTGAATAAAAGGTATCCAGAGTGTTGCAGCCTTTCTTTTCTGCTTGAATCGGCCTGGCAGCTGCAGTTTGCTCATTGGGCAGAAAACATCTGCTCCGAGGCCGTGTGAAATGATGACAGTCATCACCAACACGCTACCAGATGCAACTCATAAACCGCTGTTTGTTAGCCGCTTGGCCCTTTCCCAGGAAAGCTCGGCTACTGAAAGACGAGTACAGATTTACATTTGTGTCGGTTTTAAAATGATACACTTTCAGTTTGAAGTGTCTTCTTTCAGAGTTATTATTTTTAAAAACGTTTTCCCATTATTCCGTCAGGTTTTTGTGTCGTTGTTTTTTGTAAGTGCGGTGGGAATGTCCGTGTCATTCACAATATCTATGGTTTGGCGTGTTGTGCGAGCTGACGGACCAGCAGACGTGTGCCGGCAGCGGCTGCTTGGATGTATAGCATTGATCAATGGCCAGCTTCGAATGATTAATGGAGGCCGTATGGGACGTTCCACATTAGTCTTGATTAAAGACTCCAATAGCAATGTCTGGGGTACTGTGTGTGTGTGTGTGTGTGTGTGTGTGTGTGTGTGTGTGTGTGTCTGCGCGCGCACATGTGAGAGAGACCGAGAGAAATAAGTAAGTAGCAAAGGTGTACAGTTTGGCTCATATAGATCTGTTTACTTGATTGAACTCTTTGTCAGTTTGACGCTGAATCAGATAATAATGTGCGTATTCTAAAGCCCAATGTTCTTGAAATTGAGTTCTAGCTAGTGCTGATACTTTCATCTAAGGAAGTTTTTGTGAACTACTAAGTGAGAATTACAGGATAAAGATATTAAATACTTGAACATCCTTTTAGTATTGCAAGTAGGAAGGAGTATAATCAGAACTTGTCACTTGGTAAAGTCAGTCAAAGAGTTTAGTAACATTATTAACTAATAACATTAAAGTATTAGTATTGCTTGGGCTGTTGCCCTAGCAACATAAATCGACTGAAGTCCACTAAAATTGAGCACTTCTGGCGTATTGACGATAGATATATTGAGACAGCCAAGCTGAGACAAAAACATGTAAAAACTTGTTTTCGGGGAAACCCAAAATGTGACCATGCCCTCCGAAAAGGATTGTAGTATGTCTCCTTGGAGCTTTCCCAAGGAGACATATTGTGTTTTTTCTTCTTGCAAGTAATGTCAGGCTTCAACAAAAAGTACTCAAATGTTACAAGCAACTATTAAACAACACAAAACGGAAAAAGGAAAGCTAAATAGTCAATTTGACAATGATTCCGGCTTTAGATATCCGTACAGATTTCTATAAATACGGTAAAGATGTAATGCATGGTCGCCTTTTGAGAAAATACATAAACAGAAGCCTCTTTTCTTGACATTTTGCTCTGGATCTCCCACCTTTACTTTAAGGTGCGCTAGAGATGTTTGTCACTTTCAGTCACTTCATTCCGAGTCCAAGGATGCTGTATTTATTTAAATGCATGTTTTTTGCCTTTCTCCTTGTGTTCAAATTAGCTCCGTGTAAAAGCCCCTGCGTTTCCCACTGAGAACATTTCCTTTCATTCTTCTGAGGCAGGAAATAAAAAGAGGAAAGAGCCCTTTGAAACGCACGGACACATCTAAACAAAATCCTGTCTTTTTGTGTCGACACACACAAAAAATCCCCATAGCAACATCCTTTTTTTTTTTTTATAGGAATTGAAGATGCACTCCATTTCAATAACGTCGCTGACAATGCGAACACTCTTCCCATTGTGTGGCACCACGGAGGAGGTGCAGTGTTACTGTCTCTGTTCGACACGGGGGAGCTCAGACCAAACAAACACCGGTCCCGGGTGTTCTTTTTGCTCCGTAATTGGATCTGTCGAGAACACAAATTAAGTTGAACTGTGTGTGGCTCCGTCTTTTAATTTGCGCGGTCCACTGTGATGCCTAATGTAGACCAAAGTTGTTCTTATATAAAAAAAACAATATCCCCGTTACACAACTTTCAGCGGTCAACAGATAAATACAATAAACTGTAGAGAAGCAGTGCAAAAACCCTCATAATGATGGGTATGAATGTTCACACCGACCCACTGCATTACATTAGTTGCATAGTGCAATGACAACAAATGTAAACACAACAGTTTATAAAACCAGTACAAAAAACGTGTCATAACCAATAACTGAGGTTATATAAACTTCAATATCTGTTTCTATGAATTATTGTGGGCCTTGATGATGTTTTAAATTCATCTTTCAGTTCCATTTATCTAAACAGGTCAGACTATTTTAATATTAATTGACTTTCCAAACGACGGGTTATCTTGTGTTGTCACTATTGCGCTATGAGGTCTCATGTCGGTGTGAAAGTGTTTGGCCTTCGTTGCTTAGCTCTGGTTCGTGTGATGCTCTGAGAAACATGTTGCGTAGTAGTTTTTATGTAAAAGAAAACCCTATTATATATTTATTTAATTTTTCACTCATTTTATGCTGGTCCATTTCTTGGCAGCAACCAGTAACCTCCTGTGGTCTCCATGGTGACGGCGCAGCGGGCACCCGAGAAAAACACAGGGCCACCTAGAACATTTGCAAATCACCTGTATGTGACATATGCAGACGTACCTGGCAGATTACCCCAATTTATAACGTGATCGAGCCCGTTTTGCCCGAAAAGATCAATCCCCACCGACGTAACAAAATACCTTCTATACAGTTTAAGTGCAGCAGCTCAACGTCCTTCACCTGCTGCCCACATTTTGTCAACGTGCACTTCATTTCACAGTTGGGCCTCCTCCAATCCCAAAATGCACGGCGTGTCTGTAGAGTTGTAGCAAAAGTTTTCACACATCCTGTCTGTTTGAGTATTGATCCAGTGCAAATTTCCTCTTTTTTTTTCTCCCTGACGACATTATAGTTGTAGCTTTTGTTGAGCTTCAAGCACACAATAATCACATTTTGCCTCCTGCCATCTTTAATTAGTTGGCTAAAGAGTTTATGGGTAAAGCAGAGCGTCCTTGGGGAAAGTTGCCCAGTCTTAAAGGACAGTGAGTGGGGGGGAAGAGCAGTCTTAGGATTTGCATTTGGACGATTAGAGTGGTAGTTTTTTGACCGGTGGGAACAGAGCCAGGCATCAAAGCCAAACTTCCCCAAAGTCAATCAATAGTTAGTCCCC